GGGGGGGGGGAGAAGAGATAGTCACGGGACCTACCTCCTAGTTGGAATCGTCCAATAGAGGCAGTACATGGAGGGGATTTCACGGGGACGACGGGGAGGAAGTGGGGGTAGGAAACGATTCATTCCTTCCATCGTCACCGGAAGCTCCTCATATCGGATGATCCGATGGAAGTGGGGGAAGTGATCGCCGCTGCGAGGGAGGGAAGCGAGGTAGAGGGTGCGGAAAAGCGCCGCTCGAAAGAACTCGAAGTGGCGACAGGCGGGGATTGTCACCGTGGCTACGCAATAGACTTCTACCACGTTGCATCGTTCCCAGGCAGCGCTGAACAGCAGGATATGCCAGCAGAACGTGGGGGCAGCGGGTTGAAGGGACGCGTGGGGGTAGACGGTAGCGAGTAGGCGGGTAGAGTAGAAGTCGCGGAAGAGATGGGGGAGGAAGGGATGGGGAGGGAAGGTGACGGGGGTGCGGATCTGCTTGAGGGTGAGAAAATCAAGGGGTCGGCGGGATAGCGTCCGAGGACGAAGGCCTATTGCCCGCATCTGTACGCGGGCGAACTGAGGGATGGGTGGGGTTGGGGGAGGAGGGGGATCAGCTCCGTCTCCGTCGCGCGGTACTTGAGGTGGTGGCTTCAGGCTCGCCATCTTCGGGCCTTGGCGTCTCCGGATCTCGGGTCGGATCGTTGCCGATGCGCAGGCTGGCTTCGCTGGCGAACTCCAGCTGGCGCTTCGCGGTGGCAATTTCTTCGCGCTTTCGCGCCGCTTCCGGATCTTCCGCCTCCGTTCCCATGCGTGTCGCTTCCTCCGGCAAGGCTTCACACTCAGATCCGGTTTCTTCTTCCTCCTCTTCTCCTTCACTCAGCTCGCCCTCGCTGTATTCGCTATAGCTTCCCTCCTCCGATGTTTCCTCGTCTTCGTCCTCCTCGTCATCGTCGTCGATCACCACTTCCTCCGCCCTCGGATAAAAGGCGTGAGGGATGATATCGTACGGCTTCAGATAGTCCTGCCGCGACGACAGCGTATCTTCGTCCCTGGGCTCCTCCAAACACGCAGTCCACTGAAGGTACGGATCCAATGACCGCTCGATAACGTGCGGAGCAGGATTGTCGTCACTCTGTGAATAGATGTTGGGCGAGAGATCGTCCGCTAATTGCACGATCGGCGCGATGAGCTCCTGCGCAATCAACTGGCGGCGCCCTGACCGTACTGATCCAAAGAGAAAGCCAAGAAGATCGCCCTCCACATTAGTCCTCCAAGCTTGGATGATCAGCAGCTCCGGATTTTCGATCCACGCAGGATGCTCGCTGGTCTGCGTCCACGTCACCTGTACTCTGGCCAAGAAAAAGGACAGCTCCTCAAAAGTTTCGCACCACAGCCGCCAATGCCCAGGATTGATAAGAGGGACTGGAAGTGGCTCGAATAAGAAGGAAAGAGAAGGATGAAGATCGAATTGCCAGAAGGTGGGGAAGAGAGAGGGGAGACCAAAGATAGAGAGAGGAGCGAGAGGATTGGCGTGGTTCATTGGGGATGTGGAAAGGGGACGAGGGTGGGAATCACAACTGGCCGCTCGCGCGGAGAACAGAGGATGTCGCCAAGATCCGACGCAAAGGTCGGGATGAGATTGTGCCCAGGTCGGGCGAGAACGTGCTGCCACACGTTGGACACCTGCTCCGTCCACTCGCGTAGTGAAGTCAAGATCGCGGTATGCCTTTGTGGATTGACCGAGCTGATGTCGCCGCTGAACGCCGCGACCGTGGTGACGTAGCTCGTTCTGGGAGCCGCTCGCCGATGAACTGCGATTACCTCCATAAATACTATGGCCTGAGGAATCCCTTCGATTCGAAACGTGGCGGCGGCACAGATATCCACGTCGCAGAAAAATTGCGCCAAACGCTGAAGATCCGTATTGAGCCGAGGATGACAAACTTGCCGAATCTTGGAGATGTGGCCACGTGGCTGCAACAGCTGTATGTCAAGAACCCGCTCCGTGATGAAACTCATGGCGAGGTTGGAGAGGAGGACGAAGGACAGGAGGGAGAGAGCGGAGAGAGAGTTAGATCGTCGTCGTTCTCCTCGCTTTCCGAGGAAGAAGAGGGATGAAGATCCGAAGGAGGAAGAAGACGGAGGTAGGAGGTATGCCGGACGATGGGGACAGAGCTATGGCTGGCACTAGCCTCAGGCGCGATGCGCACCATGTTGGCGCCGTTGGGTCTGAGCTCGACAACGCGAAAACAACCAGAAAACTTGGGAGCGAGTTTCCGGTCGCGTGCACATTTACGTACCTGCACTAGGTCCCCTAATTTATATTGGTGTTGGGGCCCAACATTTCCATTGCGAGCCTCGTAGCTACGAACCTGTCTACCGTGGGCCAGCTCGGTCATCCTTTGCCTTTTTCGGGCTAGCTTCGGGACCGTCACGGTCGTTCCATTAATTCGGTATACCTTTTGGCCTTGGCCTTGAGGGCTGCACGCGTGTCCCTACCCCCTGCTTCGGCAATTTCCGGGTTACCCCGGTAGTCGACACAGGGGAGGCTATTAGTTTGAAGCTAAAAAGGGGTAAACCCCGTGGACTCGTGAGGGGTGACCCGGTGGATTCCGACGATCTGATATACGATCTCGGGCCAAGGACGCGTGTCGTGTGCCGCTAAGTTCCTGCAAAGGGCGGTTTTAATCATACGGTTGGCATTTTCGGCCAACCCGTTCGACTGGGACACGTGGGGTGCCGTATGTCGGAGCGTGACGCCCCTTCGCGCAAGCAATTCTTCTACCTCACCCTTGAATTCAGACCCATTGTCAGTTAGAATTTCTTCCGTATCTAGATCAGTATAGAGGAACCGTTCGATGCACGTGGCTATTTTTGCGGCTTTTCGGGTCTTGCAGGGATAGACTTCGATGTACTTGGAAAAATGGTCTATTAATACTAACAGGATAGAATATTCACAGCGGTTTGGGCCAGGTGGCACGTCGATATCTGTTGTGTCCATACTGACTCACTGAAAAGGACGCTCTACTTCCGTTGGTACTATCGTGTTCGGTCCCCGTATAGGGGCGTGATCAGCGGCACAGACCAGACAGTTAGAAACAATGTACTTGACATCATCTCATATGTTGGACCAGAACCATCGGTTCTGGTCTACAATTGCCTCCGTGACACGTATCGCGAAATGAGCGGCCTGTTCTTCGTGAGCAGATCGCATCCAATCATATCTCTGGAATGGATGGGGGACCGTCAACCACTAACCTGATCCGTCAGTTTTACGCTTTTCCAAATGACCGTTGATCCATCGATAGTCTCGAGATCTCTCGGTCGCCCTACGTATGTCATGTTTGGTGAGGTGACCCAATGCTAATCCCGCTAATTTCGCCAATAAACTTTTATCTGTCCAAACCTCCGCTCGTCGGTATTTTTCATCGTATTCAGGGCCGTCCATACGGGCGGCCTCGAATCGAACCTCCGTGGGGAGTTTGTTCGTTCTACACAGGGGGCACCTCCATTCCTTGCTACTCGTCCGATATCGAACGCAGGCCCCGTGCGCACAATTGACATACGTGGCACATTCTACCCAATCGACAAACCCGGTTTCGAAAGGATGACAGTCGATCCCATAGACCTGTGCAATGCACGTGCAAAAATAACATAATTTATCGAGGAGGGTGGCAAAGAAAGCTGAGGACGTGAGAGGGGCAGAATTAGTAGGAGATGAAGGGGTTGCAGAGGCAAGTGGTGTAGCCATGATGACAGAGGAGGAGAGATAGGACTGAATTGTGGAGAAAATTAGTCCTCGTGTCACTTACGGCTTCGACAGGATCTCCACTTGGCCGTACCGAGGTCCGATCTCTTGTTCGGGTTCGTTCCACGGAATCACCTCTTCACCCTTCGAAACTTTCTTAGGCCGGTGGAGTCGTGTCAGTCCGTCCGCATTCTCGTGTCTCTCGTGCTTCCGATGACGAATGTCAAAGTCCATGCTCTGCAGCACCGTTGCCCATCGCCCGATCATGCCCGAGTAATCCTTCGATTTCTTCAGAGCCAACAGGGGCTCATGGTCAGTTACCAAGGTGAACTTTCGACCGTACAGGTAAGCGCGAAAGTGGCTGATTCCCCAGAGAGCCGCGTAGCATTCCCCCATTGGAGCGGCGTAGTTGCGCTTGCAAGCGGGCACCGATTTGGACGCATACTCCACCACACTCTTGAGTCCGCTTGGTCCCACCTGGGCAAGGATAGCCGAAATTGCCCCTGGCTGCCAGTCAGTGATGAGAACAAAAGGCTCTTCGGGATCCGGTCTTATAAGGACCGGAACTGAAATGAGAGCGGCCTTGAGTTTGGAAAACGCTTGATCGCATTCCGGCGTCCAGATCAACGGTTGATCTTTGCGCAGCAGATTCGTGAGGGGTCCCGCAATCGCCGCGAAGCCCTTGATAAATCTTCGGTAGTACGAGGCCAGGCCCAGAAAGGCGCGAACTTGCGTGATAGTTGTAGGCACCGGCGCATCCTTGACAGCTGCCACCTTCTGCGGCTCCAGCTGGAGTCCCTTGTCTGTCACCACGTGCCCAGGAAGGAAATGGTGGTGAGGAAAAACTGACACTTCTCAAGCGCCACTTTGAAACCCGCATCTCGTAACGCATGCAGTGCCCATTCGATGTGCTACATGTGTCCCTCGTAGGAACTCGAGTACACCAAGATGTCATCCATGTACACGATCACGCAGTAGTTGATGATGCTCCGCGCCAAACGAGTCTTCCGTACGAAATTTTGAAAAGCCATGTTCATGGCTCGCTGGAAGGTCGCGGGGGCGTTGCAGATATCCATTGGACATCGAATCCACTGCCACGTACCTTTGAAAAGCAAAAATGCCATTTTCAGACGATCTTCTTCTCCAACAAGAAGATGATGGAACCCATGACGAACATCAAACTTGCTGAAAAATCGAGCACTCCCAATCGCATCCAACAACTCATCAATCCGGGGGAGGGGGTAGACATCTTTGATCGTGATATTATTCAACTTTCAATAATCAATGCAAATGCGAATCCCTCTGGCCTTTTTAGGCACGATTACTACGGAAAAAGACCAGAGACCTATGGCGGGTTCGATCCATCCATTAGCTTCGAATTCTTTAATCCGCTGAAAAGCGGCCGCTCGTTGAGCTGGCGAGTATTGGTAAGGAACGCAACTAATGGGTGGATGGTCTCCTGTAAAAATGAAATGCATGATCACATTAGTTAAGCCGATGTCATTATCGTGTGTGCTCAATACTTCTGCGTAACCATTTAACACACAGATTAACGACTTCCGAAGTTCCGCGGGAACGTGACTTGGTTGGGTGATCGTTGATTCTTCGAAAATCTTAAGGGGCATATCGACCCAATCAACCAGTCGTTCCCGTCGATCGTAGACACTAGAGAAAACGGAACTACTGGTGCGAACAGAGAAGATAGTTGCTATCATTTGGGACTCAGAGGGGCTGATCATCTCCGTTTCTTTAGTTTCAGCATCAGTCTCTGAACCACCCGAGGCCGGTTCCACAGTTAGTCCCGTTAGATCCGTCATTTCTTGCATCAGATCAGGTACATCACTTACTGGTGCTTCCGCCACCTGTTTAATCAAAGCGATGGTGGCTCCTATCGTAAGTAACGATCTGGGCGGGAAAGCAGAAACATCGAAATATTGTTCCGTTTGCTGATAACGCGTTCGTAAGGAGAGAGTTCCTTCGTACAAGGTGCGAGGGGGTTCCAAATCATCGGCCAGGTCAGACACTTGTAATATGGGTTCCCCAAGTAGGACTGAAGGACAAACTGGGGTTATCGGAGGCGCAAGCGCGCTGTCTCTTCAATCCACGTGGAAGCTTCGGGCAGGGTCGGGGCACACTTGAAATTCTTCGGGAATTTCGTGTTCAAAAACTTCAACCAGGTGCTTTCATTCATCTTCGCTAGGCAGCTCTTCTTCGTATTCCTGTTTCCTGATTCCACTATCGACATCTGAGGAAGAACACTCCTCGGGATTAATGTATCGAATCATTTGGGCCGAGTTAGGGGTTCGTTTTATCGTTCAGGTGGAAATTCACAAAAGAACAGTTTGAGGCTTTTCCCCAGTGTGGGTGAGCGCACCAGTTGTTTTGAATCGAAATGCAATCGTGCGCCCACCGCCATCACCCAAGGTAGTC